CAGCGGAGCCTGGTGAAGCTGAAGGCGGCCCCGGAGGGGGTTTTTGGAGGACACAGCGCCGCTCGGTACAAACGATCCAGTGGCTGTAGTTTTGTTCCCCATAGTCCCTGTGTATGTTGTAAAGTAGTCACCGCTCCAAGCATACTCCTGTGATGGACTACAATCTCTTGTTTAGTTTACTATTTTGTATTGAAGTTGCAGCATTTCAAGGGAGTGAGCTTGGAGCGGTGGCTACTATACAACACACACACAGAGACCACGGGAACAAAAGTAGCCCCCCTCCAAAAGGAAGGACAGTGTCAGCACCAATTCAGAGATGATTTGAGGATCATCAGCCGAGCGATACATAAATAAGCAACATTTCTGTTAATAGTTAATGTACTTGAATGCATTTTTAAGATTTAACGTCTAAGTGTAGTGTCACTTTAATGCAGCGGCTTTATTGCCAAAATAAGCTACAGGTCCCTGGGGGCTTTGTACTCAATGTTTCAAAACTTTTGGAGTTTGTGAAAGGTTGAACTTCTTTTGTCAAACTAAAAAACTATGTAACTAAAAGTGCTGTGCATGCTAATTGGCACTTGTATTGGATTGCATCTCCAGGATAATTTCTACCCCCCTTCCTACCTCCTCCAGGATAATTTCTACCCCCCTTCCTACCCCTCCCTAACTGATCACTAAATGAAAAAAACGCTATCTGAAAGCCCATTTTACTTACCTAAGCCACAGTCACAAGATGTTCAGGTCATGACTCTTCCCTCTTTGTTTGTTTACAACCTGTGGGGTCCTTGTTTGGGTGTCTAAGTCAATGTGGTTGCGTGGATGATTCCTATTGACTGTCCAGTTCCAGTGGTGGGGTCTCTCAGGATTCAGAAGAGGGTAACACCATCACAGGAGGATGGTAGGGCACCAGCTGACAAGGGACCATTTGCAGCACTGGATTAATGGTCCTCAGCACCCAGAAGAAACGTGGGACCCCGATGGGTGACGCAAGTTAGTATAATTTGCTTAATCAGGTAAGAAAAAATAAATCCTTGTAGAATGGGTTAGAAGTGGGTGGGAGGGTAGGAGGTTCAAAATGATCTCGGAATGGGGCTTTAAATCATAATTGCTGTGCCTCACAAGCAAGTTAGGATCTAATAATGAAAACTGACTGAATGTACAACTGTCTATGTTGAATGTAGCAAGGGATTATACTCTATCATCAAATATGAAAGATGAACATTTTGGCAACATAAAAAATATATAAGGCAAGTTTAATACTGGTTGCTATGAGAAGTATACATTTTTAATTATAAGACCTTTGCTCTATCTATCTATTTATCTATCTATCTATCTAGTCATTAGTGAAGGGCCTGCTGAGGTCTCATAGATACTTATTTCAGATCCCACTGAACCTCTGGAAATCCCTAATCAATTACAGTTCACATTTACAATTTGTTTTTTATTCCTATCCTATCTAAGCGATATTTAATGTAGTGTACCTCTCTTTGCAGAAGTTGTTGGACATATGTGAACCCCCCTCCCCCCACCCCCCCAAAAAAGCTGACCATTTGCCCATAACTGGCCTAAATATTTGGTATTATAACCACACTCATTGCCTGTTAAAACCACAAGTAGAAATATGTAGTCTTCATATCACATCCCCATTAATTATAACATGCACCCCCTCCCCATTTCATTAACAGCAAAAATCTAGCACATCCAATTAATTATGACACTCAAATCCCCAATTAATTATCAGACATCAAATTTCCTTATGTACATCACAACCAATACTCACGCAAGATGAATTATTATTAGACCTTCGCACATTATCCTAGTTCATATTCCCAGCCATTCCAATTCTGCCTGCTCCTTTCTGCTTACTGTCCTGAAGTATATGTAGAAACAAATACTTCAATGTGTTTTTTTGTGGTGCAAAATACGGAGGCTTTCTTAGAAAGGTTTGTTTTGCATCAGTACAGTTTCGGAGGAATTGTGCGTCATATAGGAGTACAACCAAAGCACTCTAGACACAAAGCTGGCATGCTCTTCTTTATGTGAACTTTCTCTGGGTGCTCCAGTTTTCTCTCACAAAATCCTTACCTCTCAACTGTAGAACTTGACAAAAGAGAATCATGTTGATGTAGATGACATGGGGAATGCGCAGCAATCAAATTGGATGTGTGTATAAATATTGGGCATGTCCTAAAGGTGCATTGTTAGACTTTGTTCACACTGGTGGTAGATTTTACTGCCCCTCAGTTAAGCAGTGGTTTGCACGCATTTAGGAGGTGATACTGCCGTCTCCTGAAGGCCTGTGGGTTTTTTTTTTGTATCCCAAAGGGGATTTAACACTAAAATTCTTGCTGCAGCCAAGTGCCAAGCTTTTGCCATGGGGTAGCACCACAGTCCCATTAAATTTAATAGGCACGTTTGGCAAGCAGCACTGCCTGCCAAATGTGAGATGTTGAGCTAATTTTGCCGTACTGCAAACTGTAGCATCATTGCTGCCGTAATGTATACAGACTGGAGCGGTCATGTATATTGCATACTTCCCCCCAACTGCCTAATTTGTAGGAAAGAGGTGGGGGGCAGTAAAAATCACCTGTTTTCACCACCTGTTCAGACCCATGTTCAGGGCTTGAAAAATGTTAGGGTGTCTCACCAGTCAGTCAAAAATGTCACCAGTCAGCATGACCGGACTATAGCCTTGCAATTTATGTTAATATTTTTTTGGGGACAGATAAAGCTTTCTTTTGGTGGTATATAATCACCACTGGGAGGGGGGGTGGTTATTCTTTACTATATAATGGAAAAATGGAAAATGTTTTCCCTACGTTATGTTAAAAAATATTTATTATTACCCATATTATTGGTAAAATATAAAAGACGGGGTTATGTCGGGTAAATAGACACCAGACATTTCAAACCTTAAAATTGTGTGCGCCCGCAAACTCACAAAAAACTACCACACCGAAAATTGGCCATAGGCGACGCTTTAAACGCTTTTACTGCTCATCAGTTTAGTGTTATCAGTGATTATTGGCCCTCAAATTATTGCTCACTCTCCGATGTTCGTGGCGATATGTAACATGTGCGGCACAGTCATCGTTTTCGCACATAGGCACACCCGACGCATGTTTGCGTGTGTATGTGGGGGCAAGGGGACTTAAAAGAAAATTTAGTGCTTTTTTTCTTTTTCTTTAATTTTTTTATGACTTTTTTTTTACACTTAACTTTATTGCTATTACATGGGGGGCTAAGACGCCCCTTATGTGATAGCCAATTTACATGACAGGTCCTCTTTATGGAGACATCAGAGGTCTCCAAGACCCCTAATGTCACCTAGGGACCCCCAGAGAAGCTGATGAAGCAGAGATCTGCCTCACCAGCTTCTGAAGCTGGAGAGTGACAGCATAATGCGGAAGTGATGTAATATACATCACTTCCTGCATTCGGGGACAGAGAGATCAGTGAGATCGTGTACCAATCCCCCGAACTCCCTTTGATCTCCTGTCACAGAGCAGGCGTGCCGGTCCCAGTGGATCTCGGGACCGGCAACAGCAGTTACAGCTGCTGCTAATACAAGCGATTGGGCGTCTCTAGAGACGCCCGATCGCTTGAATGTAAAGCTCCTGGCCGACCGTTTAATTACAACGGCTGGACGGGAAGATACTCTTCGGGCTCCGGCGTGTTCTCATCACAGCGGATTTTTCAAGCCCTGTCCATGTTAAAGGAGAACTATGGGGCTAAGGCTTTCCCCATAGTTCTCCTTAGGGTAACGGGAGGACACAAACTGGCGTCCTCCAGTCACCCTAGGCTCAGTATACCGCGAGCTGTAGCTCACGGTATACTGAGACGCCGCAGTATACCGCGAGCTGCTGCTCACAGTATACTGAGACGCCGCAGCTGATCCCGACAATTATGCCGGGATCCGCCCAGCTGCGTGACTGACAGCTGGCTCTGCCTATCTAGAGGCAGAGCCAGCTGTACCTGCCCCCTTCCCCGTCCGTTCCCGCCAGTCAGCGCTGTCGGATCGGGGAATCCAGCCCCTCCCCTGTCACGGCAGAGAGCCGTGACAGGATCGAGAGGTGAGCGAACGCCAGTATGTGTTCGCTCACCTCCCGATCTACTGAGCCGACCTGTGACAGTCTCATTGTCACAGGTTGGCTAGAACTATGAGGTGAGTGAAAAGCACTCACCTCATAGTTCTCCTTTAATGTCAGCCGAATCTAAACAGATGGGAATACATTTACTTTTGGCATGATCAGGTCCGGTGAAACAATCTTTGATCCGTTTGTTTTTTCGGACCTGAGGGTAACCGGATGTAAACGGAAAAACTAAAAAACAGATAGGCGGACCTGATTGGAAAGCCCTTGTGAAAGGGGCCTTAATCAAACATGCAAATATTGTTTTCTGCAGTGTTTTCCTTTAGATTCTGCCAACCAGCACATGTGCAGTGTATTCTACATACAAGTCATGCCTCTGGGGATAATTGTCACACAAGGATTTTGGGAGGGAGCTCTTAAAAAAAGCTTTAAACACATGGAAAGGGATAAGTAGACTACTTGTTGTGTCAGCTTTGCTGGGCTGGTGTTGATTTAATAGGCTTGAGCATACTACAGGTGCACTTTATGAGCTGATGGTCCACCGGCTTCACATTTTCTTTTTTTTTTATTTGGTATGAACACTTTCCAGAGTACAGGATAATGATAGGAGTGTTTCCATAACACATTACCACAAAAATAATCAATGGTATTACATAACAGCTGAGTTTAAAATAGGATGTTTTTCTGTAATGTTTTGAAGACCATTACAGAGACATAGAGTACGATATGCACATTTGTTGTGAACCAAAGCCACAAAATGTGTAACATGTTTTGACAATTATTACAAAGACATGGAGTACTATAAGAACATTTGTTGTTAACCAAAGGCACAACATGTTTTGACCCGAACATTACGTGGGGTCAAAAAAGATTGTCTATCTATAGGCTTTACAAGCGTTGCATGTCAGGATGAGTGATATATCAGTATATTATTTAGTATATGTCTGAGAGGCCAGATCCTTGTGTAAGCTATGACTCAAGGCTTTCCTTTGCTCCCAGTGGCTGAGTGGGAGCAAAAGAAAAGTAAGTACCTGCTGTTAGGGCATGCTGAATTTAAATAAACCTTTTGCTTTGCCCTGCATGGGCAAACCACACAGATTTACTATAGGGCTAAATTTGCTAAAGGAGCTAGCACAGCATATAGCTCACATATACTATAAAATATACTGTATGTGCTAGTACCTTTAGCAAATGAAGCCTGTTTTTTCCCTGACTATGGAACTGATTATATGCAACTTCACTAATATGGCCACACTAGTGCTCCATGTCTTCCTAGCTTACCCATCATGGAAAGCTTAATTGATCCTTACTCAAAATTGTCAGTGTGCTGCATTCTGTCCCATGTATCCCCTTTCTGGGATTGTGGATCTGATGGGAGCTCCTTTAACCCACTTCATTTTTGTACTGTCTCTCAGTACTATTTTGCCTTTCATGTTGAGTTGCAGAACCTGGATTTCAGACAGTATATCCATTTTCCTACGCTTAGGTCTGATTCTATGGAATGCGCAGCTTCCCCAGTTGTAAGGGAGTCTATATATGAGTTAGTCTTTTAAGCTGATTCCCACTTCATTCCTCTTTTCCGGAGGAAACTGATTACTCCATCTGTCACTACTCATGTTTGCCTCCTTATGCTACACAGCGTTGGTGGAATCATAGTGTCCACGCTATTTCCAAGCAGGACTTAAGAAGTCTTGTTTTTTTGGATCCTTCATCTGAAATGGTTCCTCTTTATACAGTGAGGGTTCTGTTCCCTTCCTTTAAATTACTATTGGAAGGGTTGTTTTATTACAGTTCTCCCTTTCCATGGGTATTTTACTTTAACCCCTAGCTCTTCACTGGTGGACAAACAAATTATGTACCAACCAAAGACCCAACATTTGAACAGTTAGGTATCCCAGGCTTCGGTCTTTACCCTTTTGTTGACCACTTCAATTGATGGTATGAGTTTTCTCCCATCTGTTTTTTCCTTGTTGTGGCTGCTCCTTTGTCCTCCAAATATTTGTTGTGTTCCATCATTCTTTCAGTTTAGCAGTCACCCCTTAGTAGTGCCATGAGGCAGCGCAGCGAGATAAACTTTACTGTTAAAGTTACAAAGCTCATGAGATGTCTGAAAACATCCATACTTCTTTTTTTTTTTTGCATGGTCAAGGGCTCACAACAGTATTTAAGGGTTTCCAACCCTGCACATCCCTTCAAAGACGCATCACCTCCTCCAGGCCCTTCCGCAGAATATTAAAAACCTCCAAACCAACATCATTACACAAAAGTAACCAGTGTCATATCACTATCCCACCCAACAACCAAACCATTATAAAAACAGCCTTGTTGATTTTAATTCTAGTGTGATTGATTACAGAGTATTTAACAACCACTTAAAACTACAATTGAAGAAGTCTTCAACCAATGAACATTTCCAGAAAAAGCTCCCAGACTCACAACAACAACAACTTTGTCTTTTACTTTGTGCATAGGGTAAATACAAGCTTCCCATGCACAATGAGAATCAGTGGGTGTACTGCATAGTCTGACTGAGTGAGCTTTGGTAACATCTGGTTCCATGTCAAGCCCTGAAAGCAGAACCTCCCCTTCTTTTCTGAAAGTTTACCATTCGGTCTCACACCAGCAGGCCTTTTAGTCCGGTACCCAAATCTTACACTTAGGCCAACCAATAAAGTAAAATAAGATGACTCTTTTCTACTTATGTAGCACCTGATAAGGGTGAACGTTGCACAAAAATCTCCTTGGCTCCCAACCGCCAATTCATCTAGCCTGCAAAACCGAAATGAAAACAAATGTCAGGTGAAACCGAAACCAAAAATGTTTTTTATTCTAAATTTTTAAAAATATTTTATTTTTTATAAACTTTTAAATTTTTTATATTTTACTTTGCTTTTAGGGGCTTCGGGGGAAATATTAGGGGTCTAAACAGACCCCTGATATTTTCCTTTTAAAATAGAAAAAGAGATTGAGGACACAGAGCCCTCAATCTCTTATTCTGCAGCCCCTGTTATCAATGAACAGGAATCCTCTATACTGAGTGTTCCTGATCATTCATAACTTGTGAACAGAGTGTGTTTGCTATAACCACAATCATGAATGAGCAGGAGGTGATGTAGACCACTTCCCATTCATTCATAATTGAGGATATAGTAAACATACTCTGTCCTCAATTATTTACAAACACTCCGCGATCACTGATCACTGACTGCTTGTACCTGCTCTCCATCCTGAGAGAGCGGAGCTCAGCCCCCTGTGACAGCACTGGCTGTCACCACCCACACACCGCTCTCCTGATCTGTCACAGGAGGCTGAGCGGGGGGGGGGGGGGGAAAGACGCCGGCCACTCACAGCGCTCTCCTCCCGCATCCACTCGGCCACCTGTGACAGTTTCTTTCATCCCCGCTGGGACACAAAGCAGCGCCCAGCGGGGAGAGAAAGAACAGATCCAGCGCTATTTCGGCCAGAAAATTGCACTTTCGTTGACCGATATATCATTGCATCACCATCCAAGCAATATAACGGTTTACTGTACAGGTAAGACAATCTGGCACCCTATGCAGCTGCATCTGTAGACCCTTCCCCATTCAGTTGTGAGTGAAAGATTATGGCATGAAGAATCTCCTGGCCAGTTAGACACCATGCAAGTTATTTTTCTCAGTACCTGAACTGGAAGATGATCCGTCATCAAGGTCAATTCTCCTAGACTGTGTGCAGGTAACACAACAGGCCAGCACAATTTTCAGGTGCTTTATCACCACTGATCAGGGCTTGAAAAATTTGATGGTGTCTCACCAGTCAGTCAAAAATTTCACCAGTCAGCATGACCGGACTATAGCCTTGCAATTTATGTTAAACATTTTTGGGGACAGATAGAGCTTTCTTTTGGAGTTATATAATCACCACTGGGGTGGGGGGGGTTAATTTTTTTTAACTATATAATGAAAAAAGTACCATAAATGTAAAAAAACCCAAAAAAAGTTTCCCTACGTTATGTTATAAAACATTTATTCTTACCCATATTTTTAGTAAAACATAAAAGTCGGGGTCACGTCGGGTAAATAGACACCAAACATGTCAAGCCTTAAAATTGCGTGCGCCCGCAAAATCGCAAAAAACGCCCATAGGCAATGATTAAAACGCTTTTACTGTTCATCAGTTTAGTGTTATCGGTGATTAAAGGAGAACTATGGGGTTAGGGCTTTTCCCCATAGTTCTCCTTAGGGTAACGGGAGGACACAAACTGGCATCCTCCCATCACCCTAGGCTCAGTATACCGCGAGCTGTAGCTCGTGGTATACTGAGACGCCGCAGCTGAAGCGGATCCCGACAATTATGTCTGGATCCGCCCAGCTGCGTGAGTGACAGCTGGCTCTGCCTACATAGAGGCAGAGCTTGCTGTACCCGCCCCCTCCCCCATCCGTTCCGCCAGTCAGCGTTGGAGGATCGAAGGGGGGAATCCAGTCCCTCCCCTTTTACGGCTCTATGCTGTGACAGGATCGAGAAGTTGAGCGAGTGCTGGTATGTGTTTGCTCACTTCCCGATCTACTGAGCCGACCTGTGACAGTCTCATTGTCACAGGTCAGCTAGAACTATGAGGTGAGTGAAAAGCACTCACCTCATACCGGTAGTTCTCCTTTAGGCTGGGTTCCCACCTAGGTGATCGAAATATGCACGTATGATGCGCGTTTCTACCCCGATTTGTGGTCCACAAAACGCGCATCAAACGCGCGTTTTACGAGGGCTATCCGGCTGTATCCTAATGGATACGCGCGGAAATAAGCCCCATAGAAGCTCCTGTACTTCTTTGGGTGTAGGGTGTTTTTCAGCGCGTTCCGACACGCTGAAATGCGCCCAGGTGGGAACCATGCCCGTAGGAAATAATGGGATTTCACTTGCTGGGCGTTTTACAGCGCGTCAATCAGTGCTGTAAAACGCCCAGGTGCGAACCCAGCCTTAATGGCTCTAAAATTATTGCTCTCACTCCGACGTTTGCAGCGATATGTAACATGTGCGGCACAATAGGCACAATCGTCTTCGTACGTAGGCGCACCGGACGCATATCTGTGTGTGTATGTGGGGGGCGGGGACTTAAAAAATGTTTTTCTTTTGAAAAAAATGTTTATGCTTTATTTTTTTAATGATTCTTTAATTTTTGTATTACTTTTTTTTTTTTACACACAACTTTATTGCTATTACATGGGGGGCTAAGAAGCCCCTTATGTGATAGCCAATTTACATGACAGGTCCTCTTTATGGAGACATCAGGGGTCTCGAAGACCCTTAATGTCACCTAGGGACCCCCAGAGAAGCTGATGAAGCAGAGATCGGCTTCATCAGCTTCTCTAGCTGGAGAGTGACACTGAATGCAGGAAGTGATGTAATATACATCACTTCCTGCATTCAGGGACTGGAGAGGAGATCAAAGGGAGTTCGTATACTGAACTCCCTTTGATCTCCTGTCACAGAGCCGTGCCGGTCTCGGCTGCATCAGGCACAGCGGATCTCGGGACCGGCAACGGCAGTTGCTGATACAAGCGATCGAGCGCCTATAGAGACGCCCGATCGCTTGACTGTAAAGCTCCCGTCGGGCTCCACCGTCCTCTTGTCACAGACGAGCGGATTTTTCACGCCCTGTCAATGATGCTCCCCAAAATAGGGAAGGCCTGTAGCCAGTTATAGAAGGTACATGGCATCAACCTATACCTGCACCTATCTTTTCCTCTTCCTTCTTTACCTTTCTCCCGTTTTCCAATAGCAAAACTTTCAGGTGGTAGAAATGTACATACATCTATAAACTCCCATTGTTTTTTATCTCCTGTTTTACATGTGCCACAAGTGGGACCTCTAAGCAAACGTATATGCTGATGTTTGCTGTGTCAGAGATCGGTATGGTATTCTTAACAACTTTCTCCCATTTTCTTTGTAGGCTCCTCAACACCCAATATCCAAACTAGTCAATCCTGTTGGTCTGGGCCCCACTTTGGGTGTAAGCACCCGTTTGCCCAACTGACCAAGTGAAGTGTCACTCCCCGCTACCAAAGGCAAAGCAGAAGTGAAGGGAGCCTTCCAAGCTGCCAGTGGACTCTCACCCCAACTTATATATTCCCTGCTCCAGCTTCTCCAACAGAGCACGCATGTCAGAAAATAAATATGCCGTCCTATCAGCTTTGAAGCAGGAGAGTAAAACGGTCACTGGGCTGCTTCCCCAACTGACTCCTATTCGAAGTTAAAGCTTATAACTGCCAGATCAACAAATATGGACTAAATACAAGAGTCATGTGTATTCTCTCTCGGAGTGCTTTGAGTACTTCTTCCAGAACAGTGCAGCATGAAAGAACTCTGGTACTTTGCCTCTGTGAGGGGAGCTTCCTGCAAGCTCCCCTCACAGTTCCTTGTGCAAGGAGACTGGTCTTGTCTCCGCCCCCTCCTGTAATTCTTTGCGGTCAGCCTGTACTGCGCGAGGCCTGCTGGGTCCCTCCTACAGCTGTGTTCTCTGCGCAGACTATGTACAGCACAGTGATGATGTCACAGCTATGTTTATAGAGCAATATCTGGGTTTACAAAATAATTTGTTGCACACAAAGTGAATTTATATCCTTTGTGGTTATTGACTATTATACTTAAAGGATTTCTTTTGCACCCAGAGTTCAGCTTTAGGGCCCCAATTGCATTGTTCTATGTGATTAAAACATGGTACCACCAACGCATCTACAGGATGGTGATTAGCCTGTTCAAACTGGATCCGTTTTTCAACAAATGAGTAAGTACGAATGGGGCCAGTTCACACGGCTGTTACATTGTGCTGAAAAAAAAAAGTAGAACGTGCAGTACTTCTTTTCGGCACAACCTAATGCAACAGATCCAGTGTGAACTGGCCGCATTCAATTTTCTGTGCCCTCGCGTTAGCATCCATAATAGATGTCAGCAGGTGTTTCGGGGCCACGCAGGGTCCCTTCTTCTAGGGAGGTTCTGTGGTGTATTCTGTGTGGTCTCACTATTTAAAGCCGATGTTGCATACTTGTTGTCACTATGTCGAACCCAGAAGAAGGGACCCTGCGTGGCCCCGAAACGTTGGCTGTATGACGCATGCGACAATTTAATAAAAAGTGCTTTACTTCTTGCACATATCGAGTGCTGGTGACTTCTTTTATGGACTGCATCTGACACGGCGCCATCCGTGTTGTCACTTCAAGCACCAGCCTTTCATCAAGGTCTGTACGCTGTATGGAGTGCAGGTGATTTCGTATTATCGTTAGCATCCGTATTGCAACGCAACAGATCGGAAGGAAATCAGAAGGTACAATTGCAAGTCAACGGACCCTCCGCAATTTCCTTCCGATTTTGGTGTGAATGCACCTTTAACCCCAGAGTTCCGTGCAAGGCACCTCCCGCCTGGTCATTCATTTAAATGGCACCCTAAATGCACACTGTGACGACCTTGCTACAACCTGCGGTGCCGCAGTAACATGCATTGTGGTTGAAAAAAAGTAGGGATGTGACGATACTAGTATCAGTGCTGATGCCAAATATTTGGGTGAGTACTCGCCCAAAGGCTCCGATGCCTAGCCCGATACCCTACCTTCCGGTATCAGGAAGCTGGCTCCATCGTCACAAAGGAGCCGTCCAATCAGGAAGCCAGGCAGCGAGTAATGACTCGCTGCTTAGCTTCATGATTTGTCAAGAAGCTGGCCAATCAGGAAGCCAGGCAGCGAGTCATTACCCGCCCCCCGTCTTCCTGATGATGAGGGAGCAACCCAGATAGCAAGCAATTGAGCTGCAAGTTTGAAAATGACTTGCTAGACTATTGCAGACTTTTTAGCTTCACAATTTTGTTGCACAATTACAGCAAGTCTGCATTGCAAGCCTCCAGATCAACGTGCTTTGCAAAAGTGCTGTACACCTGCAGAGCTCTTGCTAAGACTTGCAGGACTCTTGCCAAGCAAATTTGCTACAAATTCAAAAAGTGACACCTAGAACTTGTGCTGCAAGTCTACAACTTGCCAGGAATATGTGCAGCAAGTTAACAAGAATTACATTTTAACCCTGCCACAAGTTTGTGGCAAGTTATCCTTGCTATCTGGGATGGAGACGGCTTCACTGCTAATCAGGAAGCCGGGAGGTGAGTCATTACACGCCGCCTGGCTTCCCTAATGGGACTTGTGGTATTGGTATGCACCGGAAATATATATATCGGTACTCGATACCGAAAAACCGGTATTGGTGCATCCCTAGAAAATAGTAGTGCCTGTTCTACTTTTTTTTAAGCGCAACATAATGGAGCAGCGTGAACTGGCCCCGTTCATTTTTCGGTGCCCATCCGTTGAAAAACAGATCGTAACGCAACAGATCCAGTGTGAGCAGACCAATCACCATCCTACTGATCACAAGCTGCCAGCTCAGGACCTACCATCCACCTGATATATCCTTAACCAGCTGTTAGCTCCGCCCCCTCCCCAGCCTGCTGCACCTCTAGACTGTAGTGCAAGTCTCCTTCCACTTCCACTGCAATGCAGCCGGACGTCTCCGACTAGGAGAATCCCTCAGTCCCGCTGTAATCCTCTCCGGTGCCGATCTCCTAGTTGGAGCAAAGCTGCCTCTCTCCTGACGTCACATCCCTTTACTAAACTCTGTACAACCTTCCCCTCCTCCAGCCCGCCCAGCCGGGGACCCTTTCTCCTATGTGCTGTCAGCTCGGGCTGCACCGACTGTGAATGACTCCGGCTTAGCAGATGTGACGTTGTCGCCTCCGCCTCCCATGCTGGGCTCCTGCTGCCCAACTTGTAAGCGGTGCTAGCAAGGCCTGGCAGCCACGTCTGCTGGAAGTAGGAGGAGGAGGGGAGGATTGTAGCGGCTCCGGGGCCTCCCTCCCGGTATCACTGCAGCAGGATGATCGGTGCTCGCCTCCTCCTGTCCGGGCTCATCATGTGCTGCTCACAGCTGTCACCCGCGGGGGCCTGGGACAGCGGCGACATGGAGCTCTTTGACTTGGTGGAGGAGATCCAGCAAAACTTCTACCAGTTCCTGGGGGTGGAGCAGGTAAATGGCACCGGGGACCCGGGGATGTGGGGGGGCTGTGACCTCCAGACACGGTGACATCCGCTGGACTGGATACATTGTCACTGCTTTGTAGATGGAATGCTTTCTGGCACTTCTGATTGGCAGATGCTGCAGGCTTAGAGGTGATGATGTTGGGAAAAGTTTTAGTTGCACTGATATTGTGTCCTGTTCATTTATTTACTGGCTCATTCATTCACCCACATGAGCATTCATTCATCCATCCATCCATCTTGCCTCCTGCACAAGAGGGATAAATGCACCTGGCACCAGGGGCCTGAACACATCATAGCATGGCACTCAATGCATGGTGCACTGTATGTCACGTGTGCTTCCTTGCTATTCACTTGAATCGCAGCCCAAAGCACCTCACAGTTGGCATGCTACCACAATAACATGCCGTACCATGCCCGCACTACATTACTATGTTTAGTGCAGTAGCACATGCCCCCAACATTTTACATTGGGATGCAATTCAAATGGCAGCGTAGAGCACCAGCATGATCTGGCGCATTTACTGCAACGCTATAGTGTGACCAGGCCCCAAGGCCTCATTCACACTGCCCACTTTCATGCAGAGATCTGTCGGGCTTGATACGTTTTTATGCTCCTAGATGCGTAACATGACGTGTGTTCACGTGCGTTTACATGTATATGCTTTTAGATGCATCTTTCCTTTTACATAGGTTGAAAAAAATACACAAGTCCATCGAGTTCCACCTATAGAGATAAGAGAGTAAAACCTAAAACAGAGCACTATGCCCACAGTTACCCACCATTGATCCAGAGGAAGGCAAACCCCCCCCCCCATAAAGCACGGTTCAATTTGCTCCCACAGGTTGGGGGGGTAAAAATCCTACCTGATCCCAAAAGGCAATCTGATATTCCCTGGATCAGCAATCCCCTGGTGGTTAATATACCTATAAGAACTCAATATCCGGTAATATTCGGTGCATTTAGGAATACATCCAGATGTTTTTTGAAACGATTAACTGAGTTAGCTAGAACTAGCTCCTGGGGGAGTCTATTCCACATTTTCACATTTTCCCTATGTAAAGGTTAAACCTCTTTTCTTCCAGTCCATTGAAGTAGCCAATGAGATTTCAGCAAATAGACACGTCTTGTGTTTACATAAACCTCAGGCTTTTTCTTGTTCAGTCCCACGGGCTGAATGAGAGAAATCACGTCTCCCCCCCATCCATGCTAAACAGCGCAGATGAAGAAATCTCCCCTTCCAGGCTATTGTACATTGACAGCCGATCTCTGACTGCTGACGTCACATCCGGTGACTCGCTAGTAACAGATTTAGACCAGATGGCGCTAGTGCGGGTTATAGAGCTCCCGCCACTCTGCTTGCGCGGCTTTGCGATCCCCATCAAGTTCTCCGACCCTGTCAGTGCGCCTGTGTGGTCACCCAAAAGCGCGCCCACCGAATGGCAAATCATATAATCTCTTAGCATGTTGTGCCATCAGATGGGCGTGCACCAACGCTTGGAGGAGTTGATTCTGCTGTTTGGTGACTGCGTAGGGGGTTGGAGAACTTGATGGGGATTACGAAGCCGCGCAGGCTCAGTGAAGGGAGTTCGATGAGGATTGACAGCGGCACGGCTGGTGCACGTGCACCAGCGCCATCTGGTCTAAATCTCCTACTGGCAAGTCAACAGATGTGACATCCCCAGTCGGAGATCTTGATGAGTCGGAGCTTTTGACAGAACACTGGTGCTTGTGGCTGTTAGAATACCCTATATAGAATACCCACAGTTATTGCAGCTGATTGGGTGCAGACACTGTTAAGGCGAGAATTTTTCATGTGACTCTTTCAAAAAAGGTTGAGTAAAAAGTTGACATTGGATCAGCAATCTCTGGTGCTTAATATACCTATAAGAACTCAATATCCGGTAATATTCTGTTTATCTGGTAATATTCAATTTTTGACCAGTTCAGCAGGAATTAGTGTTCACAGGTGTTGGAGTTTTAGCAAAACAACAAAATATTCTGTGTAGGAGAGGAGATCCTTGTTGCTTTGGGTTGTACACCTTCAATGATAGAAAAGGAGGGTGGTGGTAATCTGGCCTTGCTAATTAAAGGGGCCGATGCATAAAGGATTTAGTGCTGCAACTAATAATTATTTTCATAATCGATTAGTTGGCCGATTTTTATTTTGTGATTAAAGGAGAACTATGGGGTCAGGGCTTTTCCCCATAGTTCTCCTAAGGGTAACGGGAGGACACAAACTAGCGTCCTCCCGTCACGCTAAGCTCAGTATAGCTCGCGGTATACTGAGACGCCGCAGCTGGAGCGGATCCCGACATCGATGTCGAGATCCGCCCAGCTGCATGAGTGACAGCTGGCTCTGCCTATCTGGAGGCAGAGCCAGCTGTACCCACCCCTCCCCCGTCTGTTCCGCCAGCAGAGAGCCGTGACAGGATCGAGAAGTGAGCGAACACCGGCATGTGTTCGCTCACCTCCCGATCTACTGAGCCGACCTGTGACAGTCTCATTGTCACAGGTCGGCTAGAACTATGAGGTGAGTGAAAAGCACTCACCTCATAGTTCTCCTTTTAATCAGATAAAACAAATGATATAGATTTCTCCAATCATCTTCCAGGCCAGCAACCTGAGAGATATTGGCTCCTCCTACTATAGGAAACACAAAGTCAAAAAAGGTTAAATACCCTCCCATCCCATCGTACCCCAGTTTTTTGTGTTTCCTACCTCCAGGAGTAGTCTTGGTCCGGTCGGTCTTGAGGCCGCTGGTCCCCCCTCTGCGTAGCTCTGCTGCTGGTCTTCGGAGTCCGGCGGCCTTGCTGCGGGTCAGAGGGGTCCCCTTTATCTTTGGGTGGTCCTTTCTCCTTCGGGTGGTGGACGCCTAATTCCCCAAGTCTGTTTCCCCGTCGATCGGTCCGAGGCTTCAGGGAGGTGGAGCAGCGGCGCATGGTGTTGGTGGCTCAATTTGCACAAATGCAGTGTTACCAACATAAAGTTTTCTTCAGAATAAAACTGCATGCACTGCACTGGAATGCACGGCATTGCGGTACCGTGCATTTCCTTGTGGGCGATCACACTGTGGGAGGGAGGTGCGTTTGGGGTACCGATGAAATGAATGGCACTGCGACGCACCTCCCACAGCAGAATTTCTCAGGCCCAAACTGAAAATGACTTTTTTGCACCTTTTTATAATTTGTATTGTATTGTAAATACATGGCGCTTAAATAGTTTCAGCCAGGGAATGACAGCTGCCAGTGGCAAGATTCCGCAGATGGCAGCTGAATGTAAATACAGCAAGTAGTGGGCTGGTGCAATAGCCAGCCTGCTATTGGCCATTTCAAATTACAATAGCCAATAGCAGGCTGGCTATTGCACCCGCCCACTGCTTGCTGTGCCCTCTTTCCAGCGTGGAGGAGAGAGCTAGGCGATCCAACCAACTAATCGATAATGAGAATAGTTGACAATCTCAATATAGCTGATATTCTCCTTATCGATTAATCGATTAGTTGGTTGCAGCCCTAAAAGGGTTCACTCTGTGTATAGCTCGGCGATTGCCATTACAGTCTCTAGATGGAGATAGAGGCGTCTAGGAATTTCTTGTGCTCCTCTAGCTCCATGTAGCAGCTGTAATGGTGGCCCCCCAAATCGGTCCCAAAGAGTATATACAGCCAACATTTTTCTTTTTTACTTTGGCTAGAGTAGGGACATTTTAAAGGGCAAGGTCACCCTCTTTACCCCCACCAATATTTTCCTATATACCCTAGCGGTGGCTGGCATTGTTGAGTTGCTGAAAAACACCAATTACGGCTTCTGTAAACAAACCCTCAAAGACAAGTCAGCGGTGACCGTTCCCATTTTCTGTCCTGTTTCCGTCTAATACTCTTGTATATCGAGCTATTTGGCTCTTTCTGTCCCTGACATATGGAAGCCTTTGGCAGGCATTGTGAACAAGTGATGAGCTCATTATATAGATGTATGGGGTGGGAGTGTGCCAAGTCATTGGAGTGGTGCCCTTGGAGCTCTGTACTTACCATGCTTCTGTGTTTGGTTTCTTTAGAATTTACTTTTTTTTTAGATGCTTCCTATAATGCTCCTTGAACTCTTCAGGTAATGTGCCAAGCAGTCTACATGGGCTTTATTAGCCAGCACTGAGCAGAACCTTCAGGCACGGATGTCAGTAATAAATGATTTTGAAGAGTAGAAGAAATGTTTCCAGGTGGGTCCCAGGAACCTGAGGTATAGCTTGGCCTGTCTTTAGCATAGATAGCATATGTTGGTCTTCAAACACCATTGAGACAATGTCAGGTATTCAGTTGGCGGTAAATGGAATACGTTTGTGCACTGATTTAATAGACTGCAGAGTGCAATAACCCTTCCTGCAGAGAGTGGATAGACTCCCGTAGGCTGGCACCAACTTGTAACAAGCAACCCTGATTCTAGGAAGTGATGGGTGCAGCGTGTCATGGCAAGAATACAGATGCTTTACTGAGCATTGCATAAAATGACTTGTTACAGTGACACGTAGGAGTTAAATCTTAAAAATGCATTCAAGTACCTTTTAATGTTAACAAAAATTTATCTTATTTGTGTATCACTCGGCTGTAGATCCTCAAATCATCTCTGAATTGGTTCTGACACTGTGGTTCCTTCTGGAGGGGGGCTACTTTTGTCCCCATGGTCCCTGTGTGTTGTAAAGTAGTCACCGCTCCAAGCTCGCTCCTGTGATTGACTACAATCTCAATACAAATTAGAAAACTAAACATGAGATTGTAGTCCATCAATAGAGTGAGCTTGGAGCGGTGGCTACTTTACAACACACACAGGGACCATGGAGAAAACCAGTAGCCACCCTCCAGAAGGAAGGACAGTGTCAGCACCAATTCAGAGATGATTTGAGGTTCTACAGCCGAGTGATACACAAATAAGATACATTTCTGTTAACAGTTAAGGTACTTAAATGCATTTTTAAGATTTAATTCTTAAGTTTAGTGTCA